GAAAGGATGCATAAGGGATACTAAAGATTTAGGATCATTGCAAGGTTACTGGTAGTTCCTTGAAAGATTAAGCTTCCTGGAAAATGCCACATTTTATGCCAGTTTCTTTCGCTTTTCAAAGAGAAAGACGGATTTCACAAAGGATGCACTAAGCAGAGTTAAACTTTGCTCCAGAAAGCCCTAAGATTTTACAGATGTATACCTGTTAAGAATGGCAATCTCACTGGGAAGCATGGCATAGTGCGGGCTTCGGAGTCACGCAGAGCCTGCAGTCCTGCAGGTCACTCACAACCCTCCCAGCCCCAGCTTCCTGGTCCATAAAACAGGGATAGCAACAGCACCTGCCTGAAAAGGTGGTGTAAGGGTCACATGTAACGACAGTGCCTGCAAATAGCACCTGATAAATATCGTTGCTGTTATTTTTATTACTTTCTCTGCACTTGCATTGTCACTAATACAATAACCCTGTCAAGTAAGTGCTATTCCCATTTCATAAATGATTAAATAGAACCTCGGGGAGATGAAGAAACTTGCCCAAGTGAATTCCCCTTGCCTGACTGAATTCCTCTTGGAAATACACCCCAAAGAAGGGTATATTTCTTTCTCTGGGATGTGAGCGTGTTGCCTCTAAGATATTCCAAGTCTCAACTGGACACTCCACTCCCAGGTGTGCCATGCCCAGGCCTCACCCATAGTAAGAAAGAGCACATTGTAGTGCAGGAGTCTGGAGTTCAATCCCAGTGACCTCAGGCAAGTTCAGATGAGAAATAACACATGTAAAGCAACGAGGCGTTCAACCATCCATTACCAGCCATCCTGGCTCGTGCTTATCAAAAATAGGTACTCCCAGATCATACAGAGGACACCTGGAAATTGGTGTCTCTTATCCTCATCCGGAGGCCAGTCCAGCATCAGCCAAACCTGGAAGGTACTTGTCTATCTCTACCTACCTAGCAAGGCTCTGATAGAGGGCAAACCACAGACCTTTATAACAAATCCAGAAAGCAGTAGAATGAGGGAAAGGTGTGTGTCACATCTTCTCCTTTAATTTACCCACCCACAGCCATGGCCTAGGCCTAGCACTGTGCCTGACCCACACTGAGTCACTTAATAAATAAGTGCTGCCTGACCGAATGATCAAACATCAGTTCTGCAAATAGAGAACATGATTTTTTGCACTGGGTTCCTAAATGTTAAAGACCTCCAACGTATGATAGAATGACAATATCTATATTTCTTTTTAAAACCATGCTAGCCACAGATCCCACAGTCAACGTCACCAGGCCACGTAGTTTTTCTTTTCCCACAGTTTTTCACTCACTGCTCTTTTTTGGCCAGGTTTTAGCCTAGCCCAGCCTTCCCATCGTTACCCATTCAGCCTCTCCCGCCAACACCGAAACGATCCCTCACCCCCACCATTTTTCACCACGCTGCTCTCTTTGGAACGTCGGGCTCTCGCCCACCTCTGGCCTTCCAGTCTGTTTTTAGCCCACTTGCAGAGCCGGTTCGCTCGCAGTCAGAGCTTGCTCCTTGGCTTTCATGTGGGCTCTGCTCAAATTCAAGTTTTGGTCATGACCATGGGCAACTCCTTTCCTCCCTCTGGGTCGCTGTGTCCTCATCTGTGGAAAGAGGCGCTGGCTGGGATGATCTCCCGGCCTCCACGGGTCAAAGGTCACACTTCTCCAACATGGTCACACTTGATGTCTCTGGACCTTAGTTTCCTCACTGTAAAAAATGAGGAAGTCAGACAATCAGTCCAAACTACGCCAAGGCAGTTACTAGATTCTTTCTGATTCTTGTTGTTAGTGCCCCCACAAGAAGCATTTTCAACAGTGTTTTCTTGCCCTTTTCCTCTGTAGACTGTAGACTGCTTTGGGATTACGTCTATCAGTTGCTTTCTGACAGCCGGTACGAAAACTTCATCCGATGGGAGGACAAAGAATCCAAAATATTCCGGATAGTGGATCCCAATGGACTGGCTCGACTGTGGGGAAACCATAAGGTAAAAGGGCACCAGATACGTGCTCTATAAACTAGCGCCAAAATAAAGTCTTTATCTCAGGACTGGAGGATAATTGTCTGTCTTCTGCTTCCTAAGTCTGCCCATGATTATTTGGTTTATTCCTCACTGGGCAAACAATTAGACAGTTGCAGAGGGAAGGAAATAATTAAAGATGCCTCTTTTCATTTGTTACTTAGCCGGGTGCCCATTAACTCGGCACATCCCAGTTTGGTAGGAATAACCCTCATCTCCACTAGCCGTGCTGGCACTAGGAACTGGGTGACAGGGAAGTACTGCGAGACTATGACTCACAAGGGACCTTTGGGAAGTGTCACTTCTGTTCTGCTCAGTTAGAAACTCCCATGTTCATAAAAGCCCATTTCTACATGGAAAATATTTATATTCTGACCATGAAACATCCTCTTTGCAAGCAAATGGTGCAAGAAGTTTGATTGCCCCCACAATCTTCCAAACTGGGAGGAGGGGATGGAATTTAAAACATAAAAGTCTTTTAGAGTAAGGATGACTGTCCAAGTGTACACATGAAAAAGTGGGTAACTGTGATCTAGGCCAGGCAACGGACAGGTAGATCTGAGGCCAAGCCTGAAGGCGCTGAGGTGGCACAGCCCCAGACCCGCTGAGCAAGGGGTCAGGCAGGCACAGCCAAAGAAGGCAGCCGCGCTCTGGCCGCAGGGAGGAGGCCCTGCTGTGGGCCTTGACCAAATATGGCAGGCCCGCCGCCAGGCATTGCAGCGTGAGTCACCGGGAAAGATCCCCGTGCACGCCCCCATGCTGCCGGAGCCCCAGGGCTCGGACCGCTGCATGCTTGCTTCCAGAACAGGAATTTAAACAACAAAAAAATCTCTTCCTTAAAATGACAGACCAGAAGCACAAGTTTGAGAAAGGTCATTGCAACAATAAAAGAAGTTGTGTGGGGGTCAGAAGGTGAAGGATGACCCACAGATGTGGCGGGGGGGACCCGCAGGAAATTCCTCGGGCATAGCAGAGAGCAGTCTGGGCACAAGGGAATACAGGAGGCTGCTGCGGGCTCCACTTTATTAGCTGGAGCCCCGGCACTTCTGACAAAGGGTGATTCACCTTCGGAGAAACCGTCGGTGACCATGTGTGAAAAAGCCAAGAGGGTGGGAACGCAGGGGCCCGGATGGCGGCAGCTTAACAGGTAGAGGTCCCAAGCTGGCAGGGCCGTGCAGAGCAGCCGGAGAGCTTTGTTTTAATAGCTCCCCCAGTGCTTTTTTTGAGATTCATTTCATTGTGTCTTTGTGCTTTTTTTCTCTCTTCCTCCTTTGAACAAACAGAACAGAACAAACATGACCTATGAGAAAATGTCCAGAGCCCTGCGCCACTACTACAAACTAAACATTATCAGGAAGGAGCCGGGACAAAGGCTTTTGTTCAGGTAGCACTTCCTTTTTCTCCTTTCCTTCTTCTGGGAGGATACTGTTTTCTTTAAATGAGGGGGAGAAGGGAGACTGTTAAGATCTCTGCCTGCCGATCTGAGACCCAAGGCCATCATTGTTACAAATTGAATACCGGGTGCTGGTTTGTTAGGATTTAAGGGAAAAAATTTTACTTTTTTATGTTTGTCCTGTAGTAAAGCCAAAACTAAACAAACACAATCTGATTCACCTTTAAAATAACACAGTGACCAAATAATATTATCTGGTATTGAACTACAAATTGAATACCAGGTGCTGGTTTGTTAGGATTTAAGGGAAAAAATTTTACTTTTTTATGTTTGTCCTGTAGTAAAGCCAAAACTAAATAAACACAATCTGATTCACCTTTAAAATAACACAGTGACCAAATAATATTATCTGGTATTGAAATCCGGTGTAGTTAAAGGGAGTAACCAGAGGAACGTTGTCAATGGCAAAGCAAGGAATTAAATCTAGGCTTCCAGGTGACAGCCCCGTAAGCTACTTTCTGAGCCAGTATTTGTCAAACTGTGGGTAATGACCCGTAGTGAGTCACGAAATAGATTTAACCAATCAGCCACAACTTCCTTTTAATGAAATAGAGAATGGGAGAGGATAGGTTTGAAAATACCAGACTGCATCAACATGAAGTAGCAGAGACTGTTGATTCATGAAAATTTTGTTTCAGGTGTGTGCATGTGCGTGTGCATGTGTGCACATGTATGTGATGAGTCATGATGGGATTCTTATAATGCGTCAGTCAGAAAAGTCTGAAAGCCACTGCACTAGGCATGTCTCTTTCCAGAATTCCTCACAGCTCATGAGTTTCAACCATTTAACCTACCACGAAGACTGTGACTTCAAGTGCTGTGCAAGAGAGGAGGAAGAATTAGAAGAGGAAGAAGGAAGGGTCTAAAAGGCCAGTCAGGAATGCAGGAGTAGACCTCCACACTGGTGGTGACGGACTTGCTGGGACCAAGCGCAGGGTGCGAGGGAGGGAGGTACACAAGCATGACCTTAGTTATGGGTTTGGGCGTGTCTGGCTAGGACAAGGGCTATTGCGAGGCTAAGGCTAAGGCTTGGAATCCTCACAGCACCAATTGTCTAGCTCTTAATCCTGTTCGTGACACCAATTGTAAAGCCAGGCGACCACGCTAGTTGTCGCGGCTCTTTTACCTGCCCGTAATCTTGCACCGACTGGACTGATGGTTGAGCTAGGGCTGGGTCAAGAGCTCCCAGACCCCTCAAGCCCATCACAGACTGGGTCACAAACCCTTCACATGCCAGGCTGGGTCACAAACCCTTCACACGCCAGGCTGGGTCACCAGACCCCTTCATGCAGGTCTATCAGCTAGGCAACCGGCCACACGGTCCTTGGAAGCTGCAGGTCTGGAAAAACATGGCCACACAGGGCGGGAGGCTGAGGCAGTAAAACACGAGCCAAAACAGCGCCGCCTTGCCTTGCAGGCGCACTCACTCCACCCACACACACAATGTTACCGACCCACCCTGAACCAGCTCCCAGGCGAGGGGAGCCTGACCAGATTGTTCCATTTTCCCAAAAGGGCACATGGGACAGGATAGAGCGGCTGATGTGACTAGAGATGTGGCTTTGGGATTATCCTTGTACAGATAGAAAATGACACTGTGAGCTCACTGGGATGATAAGTGTTTATTGGAAAGAGCAGAGAAGCTGGGCTTCAGCATTGGGAAGGAGTGGTAACTTAAGAGTAATAAAAATAATTGAGATCTACAAAAGAAACAGAAAAAGGTTGTTCAAGAAATTGAAACAAAATGGAATGAGTTAAAAAAGAAAATCTCCTTTCTGTAGCTCTGCTGATACCTTCTCTTCTCCTCATCCATCACCCTAAACTTAGTCACTGGCTTCCTGTTCTTCCCACTCTGTGCTTTTTTCCTGGATGAAATGATCCCATTACATAACTTTATTGATCGCTTCAGTGGTTAGACTCTCGAATCTCTATAACCAGCTCTAAAATCTCCCTGAAATTCCAAACTTGAATTTCCAAGAGCTTCTTGTAGGACGTGTCCACTTAAGTATCACATTAATATTTCAGACATTATACCTTCAAGACAGACCTTCACATATTAGAAATCCCACCCGGAATTCTTGTTACCCATCTGTGCCTTCACCATTGTTTTAAGTGACGCAAAATACTTGGAACTGGGTGATTTATAAGAAAACGAAATTTATCGCTTACAGTTTTGGAGGCTTGGAAGCCTAAAGTCCAGGGAACACATCGCTGGTGGCAACAGTGATCCAGGGATCTCACATTGCAAGATGGTGGAAGCGGAGAGACAAAATACTTGGAACTGGGTGATTTATAAGAAAACGAAATTTATCGCTTACAGTTTTGGAGGCTTGGAAGCCTAAAGTCCAGGGAGCACATCGCTGGTGGCAACAGTGATCCAGGGATCTCACATTGCAAGATGGTGGAAGCGGAGAGAAACTAACCTTGCATGTGTTCATCTTTTAAAGCCCCCAGAACCATGCCCCTTACCACCATTTTTAATCCATTCACTACTGTGTGGTCCTACAATCTAATCACCTCTTCAAGGCCCCACCTTTCAATTACCATAATAGGATTTCCCACCCTCCACATTTACAGTGGAGATTAAGCCTGAATGAAGTTGGGGGGCATCCAATCTACAGCAGCTCCTTAGAAGGTAGAGGATTATATTTTATATAATTCTGCTTTACACTTTACTTTCAACAAATGTTTCATGACAAAGCTGGTGTGGAATATTAGAAGCTTAATATGGAAAAGTAGTCAAAAGAAGAAAAGGGTAGTGTGGAGGGCTTGATATAACATATCTGTGGAGTTGGCCTAAAGGGGATCATTAGCGGCTTCAGATGTTGAGGGAGAAGTTTTAGCAAGAGGATAAAAGTAGAAAACAGACTACAGATACTGCAGATCATACGCTTGAGAAGTTCAGCAGTAATGGGCAGAAAAGAAAAGCAGTAGTAATTGGAAGGCTCCAAGGGCTTCCAATAAAAGGTTTGCAACAACAAAAAAAAAAAAAACAGAGTAGTGCTATTAGTGAGGAAGAGATTAGTTATTTTTGAGGAAGTGAGTGTTAGAAACCAAGTTTGCCACAAAATGAAATCTTGATGTAAGACCCAGCATGTAATCAAGTGAAGTGTTAAGTTGTACCCTTTATGAGAAGCTCAGGTGTTGAGGTAGATTCCAGTATGGATTGGTGCAGCTCCTGGACGATGAGGTGGAACCCAGAGATCAAGTGGGACTCAGCTAGGGAAAGGGGAGTCAAGAGGGTCCCGGATAAGGCAAAGCCAAAGACTCGCAGAAAGATGGGAGCCATGATTTACGTAAGAAAAAACACTGGCAGACTGGAGTGGAGGGTTCATCTTAGTGAAGAGTGGAAAATAAGGGTTTCCTAGGTAAAGATGATAGAAGGCCCCATGAGCAGGCCAAACAGTGCACCCTGGCCTGGGTAAGTGGTCATTGTGAGCTTTCAGACGTGAGGTGCTGAGGGGAAATGCGTGCTTTAAGATAGTTCATCTGGTGCAGGGCAGAGGGTGTGGGAAGGGAAAGGCGTGCAGGCACGGAGGGCTGCAGAAAGGGCACTCCCACAGCAAAGGCAGAACGTTTGCAAGCAGGACACCTTCCTGGGCCATGTGAGTTGTGGTCGATACATGTCACTGATGTTATTTCCAATTGAACCTGTTGAACAAGAAGATCAGGCCTGCTGTATGCCCCAGCTGCAAAGGAAGACAGACTAAAGGGGATGCGTTGCTCGCATTTTGGGTGGATCAGTGATATCATTGAAAAAGATTTTCTTTTTGCTGTTCTAATTTTCCAAAAGCTTTACTAACTTGCCGCGTTATCAAAATTTTCAGTTTAATATTTAATTGTATCCTTTTGAGTGAAATTCAAGTTTTGAATACCATTCCCCAGGCTCCTGATCTGGAATGGAAATGGATATACACCTCACGTGGTTCGTGGTAAATGTAACTCTCTAAAAATAAGCAACACAGATAAGGGAGCTGCACCAGGCTTTCCCCGTGTGGCCGTACAGTAATGCACACATGGCTGCAGAGGGTCATCCCAATTTCTTTCTGCCACTTTTCAGGCAGTCAGAGGACGGGCTGCCTTTTTCTCATTTGCACTAAGTTAGCATTAATGTCTGGGTTCAGTAGCTCTCCAGCTATATAGGATGACGGGGCCGTTCTTTATAGGTTAGAGTTCAAGGTGAAGGCAACTTTAAGAAAATGTAACCTCTTGACTCCTCCGTCTCCTCTTCCAAAGGTTTATGAAAACTCCAGATGAGATCATGAGTGGCCGAACAGACCGTCTGGAGCACCTCGAGTCCCAGGAGCTGGATGAGCAAATGTACCAGGAAGACGAAGGCTGAAGGAGCCTGCACGCCACCTCAACGGCCGGCGGCCAAGGGACCCCTGCCCATCAGGACTGCCGGGGCGTGACGGAGCAGGCGGGCTGAGGAGCTTGGAAAGAAGAAACCAGAAATGGCAGTGATGCTTCTCTTGCACACCAAGAGGGACCCCAGAGCACCTTAGACAAACCACCCAGCAAAGGCGGGGCTGGAATTCTGGCAGAGGGCACGGGCCTGGGACTCGCCTGTCACGTCTCCTTCTCATTTGGAATCTCTCCATCTGTAACTCCTCTCCCTCACCCTCCCACTTGTTCTTGGCTTCATGGTGTTTTTGTTTTTGTTTTTTTAAAAACATGCAGTTTGACTTTTCATCATTCATATAGGGGAAGACATCTGATGTTGTTTTCCTATGAAAATATATATCTATTATATATATATTTTTTTTGCAAATCTCATAAAGTATGGCAAGCCCAGCTGGTCAGGAAAAAAATACTTGCAGAAGGTTCAGGTTCCTGTTTTCCTGCCACGTGGATCAGGTTTGTTCCTGTTGGTGTTGGGTCTTGGCTGAAAAGAAAAAAATGCTTTTAAAGGAGATCAAGTGAAAAGGAGAGCTCTGTCTTTCTCTCTTGCTCTCTTCCCCCCCTTGCTCCCCTCTGTCTCCCCTCCCTGTCTGCTGTTGAGCTTCAGATGCCTTTTAGCTGAGGTCAGCCTCTTGGAGAGTCTTGGGGATTGTTGGCACCTCAACAGAATCAGTGACCAGGGTGCTTTGTGGCCAGCAGCACGAAATCAAACCCGCATCCCAGCATTTAGCCACCCAGCTGAGGGAGGCCAAAAACTTCCCAGATGCTGCTGTACTCCAGAAAGATAAGTGCTAGTCCAGCGGGCCTTCCCTGAAATGCTGTGAGAGCCTCGCGGGGAAGGCATAAGATAAGCATGGAAGGCTGTCCAGGTTATTTGGAAGGACCAGCAGTTTGGGATTAGCTTGCAAGTGCTTCAAAGTGGAAAATACAAAAAGACCACACAGGCCTGGCGGTCCAGAAACTGGGCGAAAATATTCCACAGTGGGGATTTATTTTTCCAAAGCAAGTTATTGACGCAGTGAGAAAGAAAAGCTCCTCTCAGCTGCCTTCCACAGGCCATCTTGTGGTCACTTTCGTGCCCTCTCCTGATTTATTTTCAATTCCTAGCCTTTTTTTTTTTTTTTTTTTTTAACCACACAGGCCTGGCGGTCCAGAAACTGGGCGAAAATATTCCACAGTGGGGATTTATTTTTCCAAAGCAAGTTATTGACGCAGTGAGAAAGAAAAGCTCCTCTCTGCTGCCTTCCACAGGCCATCTTGTGGTCACTTTCGTGCCCTCTCCTGATTTATTTTCAATTCCTAGCCTTTTTTTTTTTTTTTTTCTAAGTTTCCTGGTCCCCGCTGGACACCCGGCATTTGAGAGGGGAGGATCTCGTAGTGCAGTTCCTGTTGCAACCGGTGTGTGCCCAGCCTGGGCAGACAGGAAATTCCTCACATACATTATTTTTTTCCTTCCTTTGTAGCTGTGTTTCAGAAAGGGCCCATTTGTGGCTCTTTTTCACCTCAAAATAAGGTTGATAGTATCTTGTAAAATGAGGTTCATGCCACCCTTAGTACCTTTGATGATAACAGCTATTTTTAGAGAGCTGTTTTAGATTTTTTTTTTCTTTACTAACCGTCTAAATGAACTCTTCCAATATAGGTTCAGACATCCAATATTTGGAGTACAGTTTTTTTGATCCAGAAGACTAGACTTGCCTTACAGAGCACGCCCTCCTGGCTCCTCTCTGCTTCGCCCCTTAGTTGGGTGGGCATCTCGCAGCCCCTCCAGGCACATACGTGCACCGCCAGCAGCACTTAGCTGCCAGACCCCGGGCTTCTCCTCCAGCCGTTTCTGAGTTGAGTCAGGCACATAGAGGTTGGGGGTACATAGTTAAGAGGAATTCTCTGTGGGCCTCACTGACAAGGACACCAGCCTGGGGATAAGGAGATGGACTATGGCTCAGGGACACTGGAATTGGGGAGCTGATTAAGCCTCTTCAGTCTTGCCGTGTTCTTAGCCCACAGGTAGACATGCAGGGGTGTCCACCTTGCTCCCACTGTCACGTGCTTCCTCCGTTCTCCCTTCTGGGAGGTCAGGGACCTTCTGTGTCAGGCTAGAGAGTCTCATCATAAAGGGTCTGGTCTCCAGTCGCTGCAGTTGTGATGAGAGTCAGGCAGATCCTGGCAGGCTCCACGTGTCTTTCAGACTGTTCAGCAGGAGCCGGCGATACATGTTGCAGCCTCTGAGATGACTGATATTGTATCTCAAAAGGAGAGATTAAGGCAAATACCTGGTATGTTGTGAAAGCCATTGAGCTTAAGAGCTGGAGAGAAAGGGTGGATTGTTGCTGAGGCCCTTTGTATAGCTATGAAATCAGAGACCAAGGTGTGGTGTTGTTCCCCAGGATTAAGAAGCCTCATTCCGGTCACTTTACCTGAGTACGAGTACTCAGTCTCTTACCAGTCAAAGAATCTTCTAGTTGAATTACAGAGGGAAATCCCCTTCTGCCCCAAGGATTTCTGAATTTAAAGCAATATCCTGTGAGAATACATACGACAGGATGACACCTTCAGCCACTTGGAGAAGAAATAGAAAGTGCTAATTCCAATGGAGTCTTTATTTCCCACTCAGATGTTGCCAAGAATGATTTTCTGTTGATTCCTTTCACTGCAGAAGTTCCCCTTATTTGTTCTTTGGGAGAAGACCTGGGCAGGGCTGACACTGGGGATACAGTTTCTTCACACTGCAGACCCTAAAGATTTCAGATTCAATTTAGCAAGCCTTGGTGAAGCACTTACTTGACCCTGTGGGGGATTCACACATGAATCAGCTGCAGTCCCTGCCCTCTGAGAGTTGACATTCGGTTCATGCAGACTCCACCCAGCATGAAATTTTTCAGTTCAGCACTAAGTACTAGGGGTGATGAATATTTCACCTGAGACCAAATTAAAAGCATGTCAGTCATCTGAATAGTTGGCCTTTCCCTCTTGCCACTGTGGAAATCCTTGGCTTGCAAAATCTGAAGTCAGGAAAGGAAAGCGCAACGCACACTGTGGTGTGAGGGATGGCTGCTCTCACTTGCGCCTTGAACTTCTCTTCCCTACATCTTGAGTGAGCCAGGCTGTCTCTTTTCCATCAGAAGCAAGCAGTAGTAATTGGCTAGTCCGGCTATGCTCAAGATAACATCTGTAGAATCTTCCTGACCCAAGGTAACTCTGTCTTGCCCACGGCAGCATCACCAGTGTTCCAAATCCTTTTGGGAGGAGGGGTCCTGACAGGAAAAGAGGAATAACAGACCAATGGATTTTCTCCTTTCAGTAGTGTTTGGAACCCCTGATCCAATGTCTTTTTCACTGATATCTTGTCCAAATGAGAATGTCGCTTTAGCTGAAATTTAAATGGCAATGACAGACTTTGCAGAAATGACTAAGTAACCAACATTTCCACCTTTCACTGCCTAAGATCCAACTCCAAATACATTTTTGAAACATTCACTCCCTTTTGCAGAAGGGAAACCTGAGTATCAGGGTTGTAGTGTGACTTGCCCTAGGAGCAGACAGCATGCCAGGGACAGAACTAAGATTGGGATCTGGCCGAGCCATACCCCTGTTTGACCCATTCCCACCCAGGAAACTGAAGATAAAAGATTGGGGAAATACACAAAGAACAAAGGGCAGGGTGTTTTGCCCAAGCATTCGGTGCTAGTTAGAAGCTGTTCACTCACCTGCTCCTCTTCTGAGCAGAAACCTGGAATAAAGGGAGTGATACAAGGAAGCCAGTGGACAGGAGGGGGACACATTAATCCCTGCTGTCTAAAAACCACAGAAGACTAACCTGATACTCTTTTGGCCCCGTCTGCATCAACACTAAACAACTGCAAACTCCCTGAATATCTCACACATGCCAAGTGAACATTCTTGAAGGTTTCTCTTTGTGACTGCAACCACCTGCAAACCAGAATGAATCTAGATTTTTTTTTTCTTTGTTTAGTTTCTAATCTCTTGTTGTTTATGAGGTGTGGGGTTTATAAGGGACTGAATCAAATGAATGTAACAAAAAAGAAAAACAAAAAACAAAAAAAATGCCTTTTCTCAGGGCCAGTGAGTTGCAAATAATTTTTAAAGAAAAGCCTATAATTACATCATCTCAATAAATTTTTTATAAAAAAAAAATGAAGTTCCAAGTCTCTGTTTTTCATAATATGAAATGGAGTCACACAGGCAAGGTACTCCAATGAGGTCAATCTTGTCTGCACTCAATTATGATATAAAGCGCAGTCACGGTTTTCCACTGGCAGGAAGCCTCCATTACAGACCAGTCAGCAGGCAGTCTTTAGACAAGTGGCACCAGAAAGCCAAGCAGCTGTCACCGGTGGAAAAGTTTGCCAAAAGGAACCCCAGTCCGAGGTGCTTGGGTCCCATGCTGTGCAGAAGACTTATTCACTAAGGACTTAGGTGATGCCAGGGGTTAAAGGACCTAGGTCCTTACACAATAGAGTTGCTCCTTAAATCTGTAGAGATCCAGGGTCTGAGCCTATGAGGTAATGAGAGCATAAGTACTGGGATAGATCCTATGACTAAATACAGGACTGTAATGACCTAGAAGGTCATCACAGCCCAGAGCTGGCCTGTATTCTCAGAATGTGTCAGCCACACTGGCCAATAGAGCCACCCGCCAACCAGTGGGCACTTGAGATTTTAAGATCAAACATCTGTGGTCGACCTGAACTATCTGCCATCAAAGGAAGGTAGAAACAAGAAGAATGGAAAATGAAGCAAATTACATTGCTTTTCAGCAACTCCACTGTGGGTCTGAAAAGTGGAAGTTTGAAATCGATGGTCTCAGAAAATGTTATTTCTGTTTTTAAGTTGTCCCAAGTACTCTGTATCTACTGACAATGGATTGCTGAAATTTGGCCTTATATTCTATATTATCAAAGCACAGTATCGAATAAGGGCCCAGATATTTTCTGTGGTGAGGATGCTTTGGAAGCAACTATTTCTATGTAGCATTCATATCACCTGAGAATCGCTAGAAATGCAAATTATCAGTTCCCATCCAATAAACTGAATCAAAACCTTTGGAGGTGGGGCGGATTGCTGAAATTTGGCCTTATATTCTATATTATCCAAGCACAGTATCGAATAAGGGCCCAGATATTTTCTGTGGTGAGGATGCTTTGGAAGCAACTATTTCTATGTAGCATTCATATCACCTGAGAATTGCTAGAAATGCAAATTATCAGTTCCCATCCAATAAACTGAATCAAAACCTTTGGAGGTGGGGCCTAGCAATCTGCATTAACAAGCACTGTGGGTGATTCAGATGCACACTAAAGCTTGAGAGCCACTGCTGTCATCGATTTGTTCATCTTAGTATAAAAAACAGCATGTGGCTTTTTAAACAATAAGTACCCAGAATAATGGATGACAACTAATTTGCATTAATAGTACTCACACACAATCATGCTGCATTTTCATAATAGTAGATACACTGTGGAATGAGGCTAAGTGAACACAGAATCAC